CAGCAACAGTGGCTGTGCTGGCAAGGCGACTTTACAGGAAAAGACTGGAGAAGAATGAAAGTCTGAAAGACCATTTGCAGATATTGCAGAGTTTGTTTTTGCAACTGGAGGAGAGAGACTTTCATCTCACAGAGCCGAACAAATGTTTTATTGTCCTGTCATCCATGGATGATTCGTTTGATGGGATAGTAAATTCCTTAGAATCACTCCCCCAAGCACCATTAAATCTCCAATATATTTGTGCCAGACTTCTTGCTGATTGGGAAAGGCAAAGAGATCAATTCCTGGAGACTGCAAACACAGCAGGGCATTCTCAAGGAAAGCAGTCAGCCGGAGTTGCACTCGAGGAGGAGACGGAGAAAGTTTGTGTGGTGAGAAGATGCTTCAATTGTGGGTCTCCAAACCATTTAAAGAGGAATTGCCCAAAGCAGCAGAAGAAGCAAGGAGGGAAGAAGGTGAACCAGAGGAGGAGTTCCTCGTATGTAAGAATTGTGAAGTCCCAGGGGAGTCCAGCAGTTGAAGACATATTTTATGTGGACTCTGGATGTTCACAGCATATAGTGAACAACAAAAGTTTAATTTGTAACCCTGTGAATCCTAAATGTTCAAATGTTACCCTTGAAGATGGAAAACAGTACAAAATACAGGGGCAAGGGGAAGTTTATGTTAAGCATTTGGGTAAAACATTAAGGAATGTATTTTTAGTTCCAGAGATTTATTATAATTTATTATCAGTTGGAAAACTGGATAAAGAAGGTTATGAAGTTAATTTTTCTGGAGGAAAAGTCAGGATTTTGAAAGGGAATAAGTTATGTGGAACTGGTGTATTACAGGGGGGTTTGTATGTGTTGACCTCAGGAGATAACACAAGTGAAGTGAAGTAAATGTAATAAGTAAGAATGCTCCATTACACCAGGAATGTATTCATGATTTACATAGAGCATTAGGTCACCCAAGTTTCAAAGTGTTGTATAAAATGCCAGAGTTTAGTGAAGGCATAAAATTAAAAGATTGCAAGAAGTTTCTAGATTGCAATGTATGCAAGAAAACTAAAACACAGTCAGCTCCAGTTAGTAAAAGTTTGAGAAACTCAGAGGAAAAGTTTCAGTTGGTACATGCTGATTTAGTTGGACCATTTCAACCGAGTAAGGGTGGAGCCTGTTATATACTGTGTTTATTAGATGACTATTCTTGTTTTTCTTGGTGTTTTTTGTTAAAACAAAAGAGTGACGTTTTTGATATTATTAAGAATTGGGTGGCATATGTGAAGAGACAATTTGGAGTAGGAGTAAAGGCTCTCCAAACTGACAGAGGAGGAGAGTTTACCTCACATAGTTTAGAAAATTTTCTGAAGCAAGAGGGGATAAAGCACAGACTCACATGTGCTTATCAAAGTGCAGAAAATGGAAAGATAGAAAGGTTTGTAAGAAAAGTGCAAACAGTGAAAGATTCTTTGTTAGAAGATTCTGGATTATCCCAAAATCTATGGGGAGAAGCAGTAATGACTGCATGTTATTTAATTAATAGACTCTGATGTGAGCCTATTCAGAACACCCCTTATTTTATGTTATATGGCAAGAAGCCTCCATTAGGGCATTTAAGGACTTTTGGAACACAGGCATGGGTGTTCATCCCCAAACCATTAAGAAGGAAAGGCCAAGACAAAGCCAGGAAATTAACAATGGTTGGCTATGCACAGGGAGCCAAAGCTTGGCGATTTTTAGATAATGAAGGAAGCATTGTTATATCAAGATCTGCTAATTTTGCCTGTAGCCAGAATTGGGATAAGATTCATGCTAATCAGGAAGTTTTCTTTCCTATTTCGAAAGAGGAAACTCGTGAGCAAGGTAGACAAAACACAGTGCAGGAAAGTGCTGCTACACCTCAACTCATAAGTAAGCCTATAATTAGAAAATTTAAGAGGTCTAGGCTCTCAGATGAGGATGATGAGGTGAATGAAGATCCTGGGGAAGGAACTAGTCAGGAAATTTTACTCAGAAGAAGTGAGAGAACCAGAAAGAAACCTGACAGGTTCACAATACAAAATGTGAGAGTATGTTTAGTTAATTATGAGCCTCAAAGTTTTGAGGAAATAGAAAGTTTGCCACAAGGGAAGAAAGGAAAAATGGTTAGAGGCTACAGATGAAGAGCTGAAAAACATGGAAAGGTTAAATGTGTACGAACCTGCCAATTTACCAAGAGGGAGGAATCCTATTGACACAAAATGGATTTTTAAGCAAAACCTTGATGCTAATGGTCAAGTAAGGTACAAAGCGCGTCTTGTTGCTAGAGGATTTACACAGATTAGGGACATAG